CCTTCTTTTACTGAATAAATACAGCAAATGATTATCAAAGTGAAACTGATGATTGAACTGAAAAGCTCTGTGTAATATAGTTTTTCGTTAACCACATTTCTGAATGATGCCCACATTTTGCTAACTAAGCAGTGAGAGGATTTACTAACGTAGCTACAGGACTACTGCACAAATGACTGCTGTCGCAGCTGAAATTTTGCTGTCTAAAATCCTGTTTCCACGTTTGAATTCAGGTGCCAAATTTAAAAGCGGCTAAATGTTTTTTTTTTAAAAAACTTCCATCATTCCAAAATATTTAGAAACCTATGTGGCTAGTGCTCCAAAATCCCAGAGCAATAGTGACCGAGAATAATAGGTAGTATCTGTATGCGTTAGAGTACCTGAAGTGGCAACAGCTGAGGGCTTGCACGCGGTGCCATTTAACTGTGCTTTTATTTTTAATTATTAGCAACACTTTTGAGGATACCTACTACTACTGCGACCGAATTCACCTCAGTGACATTTGGCCTCTTAACAACGCTCCAGCTTTGCAGTTGTGTTTATTCCGGTGGTTGCTGACCATGGTGCTGAAAGACACACACGGTGCTGAAACACTCCCGCCCCCTCCCTCGCTCCCAAACCTGAGCTGCTCGATTGGCGGAGGGCACTTCATGGACAAGAGAAATGGCCAAAGAGGCAGTGGAATCTCTCAAGCTACCTGATCAGAGCCATTAGTTCGGCCCTTTGTATCCCGCTCAAAGGCATCGGTGGAGTTTCCACTTGAACCCTCCCCAGCCCCAAAGAGGGAAGAAGCCGCAGCTAATGATTGCAGGCGTTAGATTAACCATTGCGCCCTCCTCCCCCGCACACGTGCTTTAGTGTGTGCAAAGCTGCATCCATTTTAATGCAGGGAGGGAGGAGGGGACGCGGAGGAGAAACTCCCTGTTTAGACTAACGCAAGCATCGCTGTTACCCGCAGCAAGGATCTTACACGGTCGAGCCAATACATGTGGGGTGGGCGCATTTAGCCCCGACCTTTGCCATTGTCCGGCAACAACAGGTGCTTGATCAGCTCCATTAGCGGGTGCTCGTTTGGAACACGCAGCTCTCCCCTCGTTCAGATTACGGGGATGCTCCTCAGAGCTCCGTCCCCTGGGTAGCTCGGCAGCATTTGCCGCGTCTGCCCGGGTAACACCACCCAGCGTGGCCGCTTACCTGCCACCTGGAGATGGAGCAGCAGGCACACGACGGGGAAGCAGGCGCCTGTCCTCGGCATGGTGCTGGCCAGGAGCTGGGGCAGCCGCGATCCGGCGGCCGTGTCAGATTCTCCGCCCCATCGGGTTTTGAGCATGCCTGGGAGCTGAGCGGAGCATGCGCACGTGGCTGCCCTCACCTGCCTCTGGAATCGGCTCCCGAGGCGCGACAGTGGCGGGGGCTTAGAAACAGCGCGAGGGGCGCGAACGCAGGGGGAGGGGGGCAGAGGAGCAAAACCCGGGGAGCGAGAGGAGGATGGGGACCAAAAGGGGGTGGGCGAGGGGAGTGAAGGGGAGCACAAGCAGGCAGTGAAGGGGAGAATGGATGGGCTCCGGGGAGTGGGTGGTAGTGGGAGAAGCAATTGTCCATAAGGGGAGGGTGCAAAAGTGAAGAGATGAAGGAAGAAGGGGAGAGCCCTTAAAATCCCGCCGATTTAGCACTGTTATAGGAAGGAGCGAGAGGAGAAAGTGGGGGGATTTTTTTCTTCAGTTCAAAATCTAACAGCATTGAGGATCCCCCCGCCCGCAGCTAAGATGCAGCGTTTGCTTCTAAATCTGCAGAGATGTTCAAATCTACCCAGTACTACTAAAGCGCTCAGATGGACATGTTTGCTGCTTCACATGACTTAGCATGTCCGCAGGCTCTTCGAACTATATATATTTTTATGAATAGTTACATCGAACGCCCCCTTGCAAATTATGTAAAACCCCGCCAAAAATAAACAGTTGAAAGTGTTTGACAGAGGTCATGACTGACAGGAAATAAAACAACGTTTGTCTGGGATCCAGTCAGCTCAGTGTACTAGTTCAAACACGTTCACATTGTCAACGGAGCCTATTAAGATACATTTCTTCTCGTGGCCATCCCAATCTGCCAATCTTGATGTCAGACCTTCCCAGAAGAAGCCATAGAATTTGATTACATGAAAAAAAAAGTTTAATTTTCATAGGGTGATAGGACACTCAAGCTAAAACAGCCCCACAGCAAGGTCCTATTTAAAAGTTCAGTTTAAATTATATATAAAAAAAGGCATTTAAAGTCTGTGAGACTCCTAAGCCAGGCTAAACCCCACAAGAAATGGCAAATGCCTCACCCCTGCAAATGGTCTGTCCATTGACCATCGTTTGATATAGGGGAAAGTATGTTTCTGTGATCTGTTCTGTAATTAAAGCCATACATTGCAGGGTTTCTGCAGTGGACAACTTTGAGAAAAGTGGGATGGGTGAAAGGAGATTCCCAGTGTTACTTTTCCTTGGTTGGTTTAAACTGAGCATCAACATTTTTTGTAAAGATTTTCCTCACATAACAGTGAGAAGAATTGAAGAATTCCTGTAGATGCTATTGTTTTTGTGGATGCACCAATCTTAATTTAGCTTCCTTGGCAACCACCATACTGCTGTTCACACATGTATCAGGCAGTTCCCTCATTTTCTTGATATCATCGTATACGGTAGAAAAAGGCTGAAATGTTAAAGGTGCTCAGCAAAGAAAGACTAAATGATTTTGCATCTCCTTTTTTTGCTTCCCTTTAACTAATAAAGAAGGCCAGAGATGCATTTTGTTTACTCATTTTGTTCCCCATTTTTATATATTTTGTATTTCTAAAAAAAATCTATGGACAACTGGAGAACTAGGCAGTAAGGATTGTGGTCATTATTAGCTTGAATGGAAGGCAGTTTCACAGCCACTGGGCAATGGTCAAGAAGGGTTTCTCTGTATCTCCCAGTAGTATTGGCCATAGCATTGCCCGTTTCATTGTTCATAAGGATTGCAGCTGTTGCAGATTGTATGTGCCCATTGGCAAAGCACTTATGAAATGGGCCCATCTTAATACCAGGATGTCAAACTTGATCTGAGGTTCAATAGGAAGCTGAATGACTCGAGGGATGGACTCTTGTTGGTCTATGCTGGCCAGAAGATGAGCTACTGTATCAAGCATCAGCTTGAGTTCGTTAGTGTCAAATGCTATATTTGGAAACAAAACTACAGACACTAATCAGCTCTGGAAAAATGTGTGAGTCTCGGACAGTATATAGCCTCTTGCTCAGCTGAAGATGAGAGTATGCATGTTATTCTGCTTCTACTTTTTGGGTATCCAGGATCATTGAGGATTCCAGGACAACTGTTTCACTGAGTACTTGTGACGTTCTCCTCTGGTGTTATCTGGACCGATGATCAGCTAGGTCACTCCAATCCTTGACTCTGGGAGCCAGCCTTACCCTGTGAGAACCCCCACTCCTGGTCTGTTCACGCACAGCCTCTGGCATGTAAGCTGCTCCCAGCTAATTGCAGCTGAATGACACTAGCCAATATCCCTGGTCCCAGACCCAACCCTAGGAACCTCCATCTTGCAGTGTCCAGTTATGCCCGCTGACACTGCAAGCTTATATGAGTTCATCAATTTAACAAAGAAATTGATATGTACCAGGCTTGTTATCCCAAGAGGAGTCTCTGACACACTTCAAACCAAACACACTGCTTCAGGTAGAATAAACAAACAATTTTATTAACTGCAAAGATAGATTTTAAGTGAGAATAAGTCAAAGCATAACAAGTCAAATTTGGTCAAATGAAATAAAAGCAAAATGCATTCTAAGCTGATCTTAACACTTTCAATACCCTTACAAACTTTGATGCTTCTTACCACAGGCTGTCTGGTTGCCCTTCAGCCAGGCTCTCCCCTTTGATCAGCGCTTCAGTTGCTTGATGGGGATATCTTTAGATGGAGGTGGAAGAGAAAGGAAGAGCCTGGTAAATGTTGCTCCCTTTTATCATGTTCTTTCTTCCCTCTTGGCTTCCCCTCGCCCTTCAGAGTCAGATGAGCATTACCTCATTGCAGTCCCAAACTGACCAAAGGAACGGGGGTGACTCACTCAAGAATCCAACAGATCTTTTGTTGTAGCTAGACCAGTGTCCTTTGTTCCTGTGAGTCTGGGCTGGGTTTGTCCCATACGTGCACTGATGAGGTGTGAACTGCCCCTCTGCTCTTGGAGAGTTTTTGCCTGAGCTTGCTTAAGCCATGAGGACACATTCTCAGCCTCATAACTATATTCATGAAGTTACAACCTATAACATTACTATGACAATGATTACTATAACAACAATGCTCAGTGCATCATCAGCCTTCCAAAGACACCCGGCATGACAAACTTTGCATTGGATACCACACAATCATTTTACAAGCATGAACATGGGGGTGCTGGGTGCCCGGAGGTACAGAACATCACAGTACTATTTTGAGAAATGCTCTCTACTGAGGTACAGATTATGGTATTCGCTAATTCTTCACAATGATTTCTCCTACCCACTAGCATCACCTCATGGTAGTCTGGTGTGTCTGATTGGTTACATTCTGCTGAGAAGTCATATTTGATATTGATTAGAATAAAGGTAGTATGCTCCTAATGTTGAAAAGATCTTACTTTTATAACTTGCCACCCCAGCAAGATTGTCTTTCTTGTCTAGGAATCATTTTGTATATAAACAAGGCTTCTATTGACAACAAGGATCCTTGACCTAGAAAGACAGTCCAGGCCAAGATGATGAATGGAAAAGAATATTAACCAGAGATGAGAGCATCACACTTCTGGCTAGGACAAGGAATATTTACATGGTTTCTTGGACTAGATTCAGTAGGCTATAGAAACACTGTGTGGGAATAATGAGAGATATCTTATATAGAGGAAAGTAAGTAGGTGAATGTACACATGGAGGCAAAGGATCATTTGAGTTGCTAGGAGAGTCGAATGAGAATGGAAGAAATAACTATATCTCTGGGATGGGATTGGTTTTGGTTATTTTTTAAATAAACATGGCATAGAAAGGCAACCATTCTAGGGAAAGGGACAGGGATTAATTTGTGTTCCAGAGGTTGCACCTAGGTAAATATATTGCCTCTCTCAGAACAGAACAGCTACCGCAGTAGTATGACTCCATAGCTGGGGGCTGAATAATAACCGCAAATGCATCATACAACTGAGTAAGGCAGTAAAGGGTCACAACATTTCTAAGTTACTTGTAAAATTCTCCAATGTATACTTGACAGAACCCCCTAATATAGGAGTAGGTGGTAACAACACTTACTCAGTGACCTCTGATGTGTCCGAGAGCCTCTGAAATGCTGCAATGTTAAGAGACACGCAAAGACTCCAATAGAATGGGAGAGAGACAGAATGTAACATTCACCCATATCTATACATATATGTTGATATTACTAGGCTGTTACCCAAATTTACACAAGATGTGATTTTATGCTATAACATTTGATGTGATTTTCTTTATTTTTTCTAATGAACTTTGCTATACACCGTTTGGAAGTAATTCACTCCAATCTGAAAAAGAAAGGAAAGGAGAATGAAATGGATTACGTGGTACCTGATTCAGAGCACTCTGTAAAAGGAATAAGGCAAAGAATTGTCCATCCCTCAGAGGTGTTGCCAAGATGACGACTGAGTTCAGAACGGTGCAGGGAGAAAGCCAGGTAACTACAAAGGGTGAGGGGATGCAGAAGAAACAAATGGGTTTAACTTTATTCAATTGCTCTTCTTTCAGGATCTGATTTCATTCATGCATTGGGATAGCTTAGCATTTGATGTGAAGGCATATAACTGAATATCATTTGCTTAACACTGCAATTTAAATCTATGGCATCTTACAATCTTCCCAGGAGCTTGTCATAAGTGTTGAAGAGAAGGGAAGAGAAATGGAGCCTTGGAACCTGAGGCACAATTGGGAGTATTGAGAGTATTTCCTGAATACTAGATCAGAACCGTGCATTTTAAGATGGGTAATAAACAGCCCTCTTGGAGGGAAGCACTGATAAATCTGTGTTATAGAGGGGCCAAGTATTTTTATCTTTCACCACATAAGCCATGATGGGCATGGGTCAGACTCACAGGTAGCAGCTTAGATTTTCTTCAGTCTATCTACCATTCCATCATCTAGATCAGAGGTTCTCAAAGTGTGGTCTGCAGACCACCAGTGGTCCACGAGCTCCATTCAGGTTGTCCACAGATAGTTCCCTCTAAGGTGTGCACCTGGGCAGCCGCACACGAGAGAATGAAGAGCTACCCTTCCTAATTAGTGGAGCCACACAGGCATGGCTCTACTAATTAGTTGCCTGGACCCTGGAGAAGACACACATGTAAGGTGAGGTGGTGGCCTTGGGGGGAATAGGGCATAGGTGGGAGTGGGGTGAGAAGAGGGGGTGGGGAGAATTTGGGATGTGCAGGGCTGCAGCGGCCAGAGAAAGTTGCGACTTTCCCTAGCTCCAGGATTGCAGCTGCCGGGGAGAGACGTCCCTCCTTCCCAGCCTCAGCTTGGGGGCTGCTGCAGCGGGGGAGAGAGGGAAGAGACCCCCACCCTTCCCAGCACCAGCTCAGGGGTTGCCACGGTGGTGTAGAGAGGGCACATCCATCGCATTAGAAAGGTAAGACTACTGATATTATAATATGAGTTGTGTGCTTTTATTTGTGGAACAAAAAAGTTAATTATTATGAAGTTTTGTTTTATATAGTGCTTTTATCCAAAGTACTTTACAATAGTTACCTAACGGTACAAACAACATTTGGAAAGTCTGCTGAGACCCTCAGCAATTTTCAAGTGGTCTGCAAAAAAAAAAAAAAAAAATTGAGAACCACTGATTTAGATTAAGTCTATTCTTTGTTGCATTTTCTTTGAGATCAATCTCTTCTCTACTTTAAGCTGTTCAAACCAGCAGCCAGTAAAAACTCCTCTCCTGCAATGTTCCACTGGAGGTAGTAAGATTTATAAAGTCAGATTAGCTTGTTGCAGTTATAATATAGCCAGGAAAAATATAAGAAGATTCTGAATGTTCTTAAAAGACCTTAAGTGAATAGTTAAGCAAAGAACAAATATTTCAAATTATACATGTTTGTTCATACATTTATATTATATCAGGATAATTTAATGTGGTAGGTCATTTTATAGGATTTTCATAAGAAAAAAATATTAAATGTGCTTTTAAAGATTACATTTTAACTTATGGTTACCATGTAGCATTTCTCTAAATAAAGCAGCTAAAATTAAGATTTAAAATAAATAGGCACAATACATTCATAACTCTGGATCCTAACCTCCCATAGTAGGGGAGATTTTACTTTTGGATCCAAAATTCATGATGTGGGCTTCTGTCCACAATGAGTCAAACCAAATCCAAGCAATGCCTCCACTAATCCAGAGCTAGCATTTAGGGAAGTTTGGATTCAGATCAGATTACAGATACAAACTTTGTGACTCAGGCTGATGTCTAATTTGTGTGTCAGCCTCCCACGAACCACTTAAAAATATATTCCAGAATGTCTAGCACAATATTATAAACAAATATAAATATGAATCAAAATGGCCAGGATCTTACTAATAGGGGATATAATGTATTCTAAAGCAGATGTTTTTTCTTTTTTTATCCAACGGATAAGAGCAAATGACATTTTAAAAACACCACCTCTCAGATTGGTTTAACATTCACTAACTATAAACTTTATACCAAAGGGGAAAAGGCTGCAGATTGCAGTTCTGACAGTAGATTATAATTGGGAAGGTGCATGAGGGTGAAATTATGGTAAAGACAATGATCAAATTAACAATAATCTAAATCCTCACATTAATTTACAAAGAGAGAGGGAGTTTAGATCAGGCATAACATCCTATGTGACATCACCTTACCTACAGGAAATCTTTCTATGCATGCATTCAAGGGCTGGATTCCACTGGATTTTGGTGTGGAGGCTGGAGCTGGGGACTCAATAGTTTCCATGGAATTATCCAAACTGGTCTCAAGGATATCCACACAGACATCCCATCCAATAAACTCCCACCTAAAATTATTTGAAAATAAAGAACAAAGTGAGAAGAAAGACGCCACAGATAATGTCTTTCCAGATATAGAATAAGGTATTATTCTTAATATCCTCTTCAGGCACATTCTATATGGAAACCTACAACAGCATATGTATTAGTATCTTGTATACACCTTGGGTCCATTTCCCTCTTTTTGCTATTTTACAGTGAGCATCCAAAGCCTGTAAGCACATCAGACTCATACAAATGTGATTACAACTTTATGGAACAATTCCACTTCATTGGAATAAACAGAATAGCTCATCCAAGAAGTATTTTATACTTCCACACAAGGAGTAACTCACCCTGCGGAGAGAGCCAAATTCCATTTTAATTATGGTCCATGGGCTAATTTATAACTTTAGGATTCCATATTCCCCCCAGTCCACAGCAGTGACGTCAATGGGCGGTTTGTACAAAGATCCAGGGTAGAATCTGGTCTTTATATAGGTTTGAATTATTAATAATATTTGAAATTATTAATATTGACATTGGAAACCAAACATTAATTTAATATTAATTTCCTTTATTATATCCAAAGGCCAAATGGTATTTATACAATTGCTCTAAATATGCCTAAAAAGCCTAAATAATAGCAATTTACTACATCCAAACAATAACAAAACAGTTGCAAGTATTTGATCAAGATAGGCTAAATCTAGGGGTTCTTAGACCGATATCAGTTGGCTCCAACATGGTCAGGAAGGTATTAGCAATGAACCCTTTAAGAGTTTACTTTTTATACCCTTTAACAAACAAGCAATGTCATTGCCAATTACTGACTCAGCTAAAAAACAATTGGCAACAATTCACCCTTATTTCCAATATTAATCTATGTAGGATTTACAACCTTCTTTCTTCCAAAAGCCTTTTCTTTCTTATCTTCTCCCCTCCACTCTTTGCTTACTAGCAGAACAGTGGGAAGATTTGGGCTTATTTCTTTGTATCATGTTTGTGTTGTGTCTTGTTACTGCAGCTCTTTATTTTATTAGTTACTTTTGAAACCATATATCCTTCCCACACTACAAGCAATACTAATTATTCTGACAGTCCTCTTACTTGCTGATTGGGGCCTTCTATACTATATATATATATATATATATATATATATATATTTCTTTAATTTTATACTTATCATACAATATAGTAACAAACTCAGTGGGTAAATATGGTCCCTTTTTGGACATTGCTATTCCTGTCCCTTATTTATCTTTTGTCCCCAACTTCCTCTCTCTGGTTCTCTCTCTTCCTTGTCTTTGTGTGACTCCTCTGTTCTTTCTTCTGTATTTCCTTCCTTGCTGCAACTCCCAGTTCCTAATCTCTCAGCCCGTTCCAGCCACTAAAACAATTAGCAATTAAATAGTGCTCAGAGTCAAGTGTTATCAATAGGCTTTAGAGCTGATACATCAATGAAATTAATGTGGGATGGGGGAGTTCACACATTTTAGAGTAACTATTTCAGGCTGGTTGCAGACTCAGTAAGACAGCATTGCAATGATTACATTCCGTTCATATTTCAATGGTTTCCTTCAAAACTGTTAGGGATAGAGGCTTACTCCTTATTCTTTAAAAATGAAATCTTAGATTCTGCAGAAACTGTATTTTTATGGAGGCCACAAACGTACATCAAGTGAGCTGGACTCAGATCATAGCCTGAGGTAAGATCCTGTTCCATTGAAATCAAATCGGAGTTTTGCCTTAAATGGATGCAGAGTTTCACCCCAGGTGTATGCCATCCCTGCTTTGCATGGTAGTAAAGATCCTTAGTACAGACTGGTGTATGTGATACTGAAAAGCTATGATCTGTAATAGTAATGAAAAAGCATGACCTTTCATGGATAAAATGTAATCTCAGTGTAATTCATAAGTTTGTCATCACATTATATTTTGGATTAACTATTAACACAAAGAATGTGATCCATTTTACATCTGTCACAGATGACAAAAAATGCATATATGGGCAATAAAAGCCATTCATTGATTTCTGAAACCCAACTACTATAGGGAGCGTTACAAGTCCATGTACTGTTGCTTTTCATTTCATGTTTAGCTCTCTGTGTGTGTGGACAAATATACATTTCCATATCTAGACAACTCCCTGTTCACATGTCTAAGATAACTGTTCATTCTATCAAGTGTCAATAAATTGGCTCATAATAAAAAAAATATTTATACCTCAGGGTAAAAATTGCCCCAGATTACTTTTAAGTGTATAACATAGAAAAAGGTGTTTTGATGCTAAATCTACTTCTGTACCTACTCAAAGGATACCCCTTTTTGGAGGCGGGGGAAGGGGGGAGGAGTTGAGAAGAGGTAGACAGAAGAAGAGATGGATTGACAACATAAAAGAGTGGACAGGAATTGACTTCATGGAGACTCAAGCACTGACACACAATCGTCAGGGATGGAGACAATTGGTTGATTGCTCATCAGTGATGGTGCCCCAACGACCAATGCGGTTATGGGAATAATGATGATGATGATTACTGAACTATTTACTTGCATAGGGTTGTATTAATAAATATGGTACCAAATTCTGTCTTCATGTTCCTAGGATTAGGCCTAAATTTTAAAGAGTAACTGGTGATCTTGATTGCCCAAAATGAGACACCTTAAAGGGAGTTGATTTTCAGGGTGAATGTGTTCATCAGGCATCTCAGTTTTGGCACCCAAATGCTGTGGGGACTGAAATCACTAGTCACTTTTGAAAAATTTAGTCTGTAATATCTAAATGTACAGGACAAATATTTTCAAAAGGTTAGATTTTGAATTCGCCGCTTATACTGATGAACAGTTACACACACAAGTAGTTCTATTGAAGTTCATATGTGCAGCAGCCAGAGCTTTCCCATAGCCAGTCCAAAACTGTGGAATGAAATTCCTCAGGGACTAAGAGCCACCATAGACCTTCTGACCTTCTATTGCATGTTCAAGATACGTTTTTTCAACTTTGTCTTCTCTAATATAAATAGGCTTGAAAGGATTAGATTTTTATCAGTAACTCTAGATTTCAACGTACAACCACAAAGTGATGAAAAATATTTCCATTAATCATAATTGAAATTTTCAGATAGGCAAAGTAAGAAAAATGCTGGTTGAGAGTGTACTGGGGTTTGATTTAAGGGTATTTACTTTATATATTTTGCCATGTGATATTGACAATTTTTGTTTGATCAGTTATAAAACTATTTTTTTTGAAACGCAACATCTTGCTAAATAATTATTGTCTGTCTTGCCCCCTCCCATTCGCTGACCCCCTCCATAATATCCCACAACTGTGAAAATTTAAATAGCTAAAAATAAAAAAGTGATTAAAATAAACATTGATATTATCGGTCAAAATTATTTTAAAAAATTGAAATCTGTCAAACCTAAATATATGCAGTGGAGCTGTAGCCATGTCAGTCCCAGGATATAAGAGAGACAAGGTGGGTGAGGCAATATCTTTTATTAGACCAACTTCTTTTGGTCAGAGAGACAAGCTTTGAAGCCACATACAGCTCTTCTTTAGGTATGGGAAAGGCACTCGAAGCATCACAAAACGATCATTCCATATCTGACTTATCAGTCCTCATCCTCAAAGGAAACCTGCACAGCACTTTCGATAGACGAGCCTGGGACTTTAAATTAGTAACTGCTAGACAATAAAAATCATGAACTGAACAGAGACACTGGATTTATGGTTTATTACAACAACCTGTAACCCACTAATCTCCCCCACTTTTTGTCCTATGACTGCAGAACTGTTAATGGACCATTCCATCTAAATGGTCCCTTAGAACAGTGGTTCTCAATCTTTCCAGACTACTGTATCTCTGAAGCCTGAACTCTACCACCCGCGGCTGAAGCTTGTAACTTAGCTTTGCAGGGCCCCATGCCACAGGATTCCCCAGGCAATTCTCCTGCTTGTCACCCCCTAATATTGGCCCTACACTTGCAACCCCACTAAACCCATCCCGCAACCTCCCTGGGGATGTGAATCCCAAGTTGAGAAACACTGATCTAGATGAGTTGATGTACCCCCTGAAAGACCTCTGCCTTAGAATATGTGCTTACAACTTATGCTGAACAATTTTGCATTTAGCTGTGATGCTCGGAGTACCTTTCTGAGACCAGAAGAAGAGCTCTGTGGATGGCTTGAAAGCTTGTTTCTCTCACCTACAGAAGTTGTTTCAATAAAAGATATTACCTCACCTACCTTATCTCTCTAAACCGAATATAAACATACAGTACACTATACATAATATTGATTAAAAACCTGTTCAAACAATTTCCTCCTGAGGAAAGAATGAGAGAAAGAATGAATTATATCTAACAGCTGCCAGGCAGGTCACTTCATATGATTTTGGAAGATACTCAGATCTCATGGTGACATGGTTGGTGTAATGGGGTGGCACCCACCTCTTGTAAGTGCCACCTGGCCGTGTGTGTGTACGCCTGCACTTTTTTAGTCTGCGGTGACCACTGTTGGTGGTTTTATAGGTGATTTTCAGCGACTCAGCCCTCGAGCCAAGTCACCCACACAGTCTGTGTGTGAAACATACATACCCCTTCTGGGGTATACAGTCCACCAAGGGCCTATTCCAGTACCCCTCTGGTGGTGTCTCTGTAGCCTTCCCCAGGCTCAGTCTTTAAATAGTCCTGGCCCTGGTATGGGGCCATACCCCCCGAGCTTCCTCCCTGGAGACACTGCCCTTACTGCTCAGTCCTTAATCAGGCCTGCAGCCCTTCTTGGCTAGCCTTCAAATAGCCCCTCAACCCTGGTATGGTGCCCCCCCAGTGCTTCCTCCCTGAAGACTCTTCACCCTTTCTGGTCCCAGATGTTCTTCTATCTTCAGTCCCAAGAGCCAGCCAGGAACTCTCTCTTGTTCCCCCAATCCCTTCCAGCAACTGTCTTGGGCTCAGTTCCAGCTGCCAGTCAGAAGCTCCCTCTTGCTCCCATGGTCCCTGCTAGCAACTGATCTGTCTGTGGTCTTGC